AATTAATTGCATTAGAATTTATCGTACATTTTTTTACATATATAAAATTAAAACTTTAATTTGACTTGTATTAGATAAATATGCTTTTTGATCACGCACTTACACACAATATTTAAATATTTAACCCATGTGAATTAGTAAGAAAGAAAAAATAAAACCATATTTATTCGTTAGTTAGAGTTGTTAAAAGCTGGCCTGGTTAAACTTGACTCTCGAGTTTTGATTATAACTCGTAAATTATTTGGCAATTTATTAATTCGATTACCCAACGCGTTATCACTATTCTTAACGAATTAGGCCTCGAGTTTGAAATCGAGCAACCGGAATGGGTGACTCTAAAGTCTCTTGAATATCTTAGAGATAAACATCCTTTGTGACTATTTGTTTTATAAATATTTGATAATTTAAATACAAAAAAATACTAAATGATTCAATAATAGCGGAAAAAGTCCCACAAAGATGGTTACAAAATCTTCGAATCACGAGTAATCGTACGTCAAACACAAACCATCCCTTGTCACAAAAACTCGGCATCCTCGAACAATTCCTCTCAATCGAATACTCGTATTTCAACCCCTGGGTGACCGAAAAAGTAGTCAAACCAATATTCGGTCATGGCCACCAGACCCTGTAAAACTAGAAGAACTCACGAAAAAGGCAGACAGCGTATTAGACGTCTATGAGAAATTGCTGGTCGGCAAGCTTATTTGACTAGTTAATACGCGGATATTGCGCATCTACCATCTACCATGTTTAACTAATAATGGATGTGATTTGGGCGATAGACCGAATGTTAAACGTTGGTGGACAAATATTAGTGAGAAACCTGCTTGGAAGAAAGCAATTGCGATGCTCAAAAATAAATCATTTGTTAGTTTAATTATTTATTTGAAACTGAATGACTCATGTTACACGTTAAAATAAAATTTTTTGCGTACCCAGAAAAATCATAAACATTTCGAAACATTCCAAAGATTGACAGACTAGATTTTTTTCATATAATAGTAGCATTCCCGAATTTATAAAATTAAAGTTTCGCATGATTTAACGAAATGTCGTCTCAAGGTTTCAATGTTGTGTTGCCGTTATTCAAGTTCAAGGGTTAACTGCGAAAGATAGAAATGGTTTTTCTGATCCCGTAAACATTATTATTTTGAATTTGAAAGAGCGTATTAAGATTTTTATTCCATTATTTCGGAACATCAATATCTAATTACGTGCAAATACATATTATATATTTTTTGAAAAAATAACTTTTATCTTAAAATTTTGTTTATAAAATACTTTTAATAAAAAATTTCTTGCAAAATTTTATCGAAAATATTATGTCATGCGATTTGATTTGTTTACTCTTACAATTGTCTAAATTCGATAACTCAAAGTAAAATATAAACTATACCATCAATTGCGTTAAAAAGGAAAATAGCGGTATTATTAAACTTTTGAGTTGAACTGGCTGATGAATAAGAAGCTACATGCAAACTATGCATTCTATTAATTTATCAACTAAATCTTACAAATTGACACTGATAGATTCGCATCAATCAAATTAAGCACCCACATATATATTCTAGCGTTGTATGCAATCAAGTATTTTAATATTAACTGCTGATATCGATAAAAGTATTTGCGAAAAATAGTATTAAATAGAGATTTTGCTTCATTAAAATCGTATGGATCATATAAACATTTGTAGAACCTAAATATTCTATAATTAATTGTCAAAGTTATTTATAAAAAGATGATTATTTGGAATTTAATATCAATTTATCTTTTTATTTTTTAATTTCTTTTAAATTTAATAATAAAATAAATATTAAATTTTCAAAATTAATATATTTTATTTTTAATTTATTATTAGAAAAAAGTTTTTAAAAAATTTTTTATTTAATTATTTTTTTAATTTAATTATAAAAATACTAAATAAATAAGTTTAATTATTTTTTTTAATTATATATAAAGTTAATTTATAAAAATAATATCTTAAATAATTAATTCTAAATTAATATAATATTTATTATCTTTATCTCCGTTAATCAATTTATCTTTATAATTCGTTTGTGATATTTGAAACATTGTTTATCCTCGATATAATAAAAATTATGTATCATATATAGCTTTGAAGTAGTAT